GTTTGCCCTTTTCTTCTTTGGCATCTGCTGCTGATCGTTAGACACCGTCCTGGATGGACCTGTGGCTTGATACCATTCAGCCCTTCCTGTTCCTCTCACGCAGGAATCCCGCAACTGCACCTCTCACTCTCCAGCCTCTGGAAGCAGCCCCTCACCTTCAGTAAATTCCATCTCTCAGGAGCATAATTTCTAGAAAACAAAGTATTGTTTATCCTTGGAAGTAACAATCAGAAAGACAAGAATGACAAAAGGTCTGCACATACCCACATCATACTTCAGTGTTACCATAAACCTGGAACCACCCCAGCACCAAAAGCTTTTCGGTTCCGGAAGCAGACTTCCACCCGCATTCGTTCTGCAGTGTCACTCTCCTGAGCTCAGGGCTTCGGAGGTTTACCTGTATAAACAGAATTAGTTCTGCGATTTTTGTTTGGGCTCCTACCAGCCCCAACATCACCGCAGCCCCAGGTACCGGGCTCAGTTTAGACCAGGATGCTATTTCAGAGACACAGGCTGCTACCTTGCTGGCTACATATCAAGAGAAGAATTCTAGCTGCTGTCTGCCTGCCTGCTAAGGGGAGGGTTTGTCTCTGCACACCCCACAGCACACAAAGAACCCTGGTTCAGTAAAAGGGGGATGCAATACTCAAAATTAAAGCAAAGTATCTCCCCACTCAAACCAATTGTATTCACTGTAAAATCTATTTCCATTATGAAAGCAGTACAGATATTTAAAAAATCACAAATTACAATAAAAAGTTTAAAAATAACTAATATATAGTTCCACAAAACAGAAATGCAATTTCCAACTTAGTTTTAACTTTACTGCCATGTCATTCTTTGGATTATACCCAGGGCCTCTGGCCTGCTAACAGCAGTCCCTAATGTTTCCCAGTATCCCTGTTACAGCCATTAATCGATACAGCAGACTTACAGACGAGAAATTTAGAAGCATCTCAATGAGGTGAAACCTCCTACCCTGTCACTTGCAGCAGGTTTTGAGGAGAGCTTTCAAAGAAATCAAATACCAGACAAAACAGCCGTCTTCAATGAAAACACCATGCGGGAGCCACGTACCTCCCCACCTCGGTCGAGCTGTTCCCTTCTCTGCTATCCAACTGCTTTCCAACTGCCCCCTGCCCAGGAATCTGCAGCAGCGTCTCTGTGCACGCTGTCCACTAAACCAAGGGCAATTAGAAACCCACTGGAGCATTTTGCTCAGGCAGGACCACGGAATGTGCGATTTTTTTCTCCCAGAGTTTGCCCAGTTGGCAGTGTTTCGTACAGATGGTTCGCCTTTGAAGGAATGCTTCGTGTGAGACAAGGCTCTGGCAGAAACCTGCCCCATCACTTGCCAGCTCACCTTCTGGTACGCGTTAATGAGGTTGCTGGGCCACCACAGCCTTAGAAGTCGCAGGGCTGAGATGGTCGGCAGCTCCAGCAGCTCTCCATGGAGATTCCTGGCAGCGTGGCTGTGTTCCTCCTCACAGAGAGCTTAGAAAAACTGGCATTTTACTTTGATTTAAAAAATGCAAAAATATTTAAAACAAAATTGTCATTTCCTGTGGATCTGCACGTAGCTAAGAACAGAAGTACCGGCTGACTGGGACAGAATTAGCAAAAATAAATGTTGCATGAATAATTTGAAAGGCCTCCTAACCCATAGATCTTCAGGTGGCTGAATCTCCCCGGGAAACCTCAGGAGGCTCAATCACAGGAGCAAAGTTTTAGTCAGCCCACAGGGTACCGTCCCCCGCTCTGCTGGGTGCGATCCCGACAGCGTTTTAGAGATACGTATCGGGAGTCTTCACTGAGCAGAGTATTTCCCCTTTTCTGCTGCCACAGGGAACACTGAGAGTGGCAACCATTTCTCACTCTACACATTACAGAACAGCTTCCCAAACATGAGAGGCAGCAAGGGCTGAAGCACGAGCTGGGAGAAGCACTGGCTACTAAGGCTCGTGATTTCTAACAAGGTGAGGAAATAGATCTTCGTCACTGATGCGCAGTCCTTTGCTTTCTGGCCCTGGCTGAAAAAAACAAACCTGTATCTGCATTAAATGCAGCAGCACTTGCGGCAGCCAACCTCCTGCTAGCCCTGCAGTGACTCCTCCTGCTCCATTTCAGGAACAGTTTTCCAGGGCTTCACGAGTGCAGAAGCGTGTTCATGCCGTTCTGAGTACGCCTCGATGAGAATTTATGCTGAATGTACTTTCCTAGACAGCAGAACACAGGCAAGAGATGCTACGTTCTCTCTTTTTAATCACAGTGAAGACAGTATTCACTTTTCACATAACTCTGAAGAGATGGCATCACATCCTGGAAGAAAAGCTGTCTTCACTGATTATTACAGCCTTGTATGAAATCTTGAGCAAGACTGACCCGGATTCATCCCCACTGCCTTTGATACTTAAATGATACTGAGATTTTGGATTTGGTCACCTCAAACACCTTTACGGACAACAGAAAGGTGTCAGCAGAGGGCTGTTCGGAGCTGGACTGGGCCAAGCCATCCCTTTCCACTGGCTCTGGTGTGAACGCAGCCTAGAGTTAACTATTCAAATCAATGTCTGTAATTAGGTGGGATAAATACGGACCCCAATGCCTTTGCGTTAATCAGCTATCTCGAAGTAAATGGTATAACACTCCTGCATTCTGGATTCGAATGTGGAGGACAAGCTGTATGTGTGTCTCCCTAGTCACCTCTGGGGCTGATGAAGGTCTGTCCCAGGGCCTCCTGGACCTGCCTTGGATCCTCTCAGGTCACTCCAGGTTCTTCCCAGGGTCTCTGGGGCTGCTCCCAGTGCTCCTGGGCTCCTTCCAGCATCTCTGGGGGAATATGTTTGTTTACATTTCAGAAGTACCAGAGGCTAGCCCATCCCCAGCCGAAGCCTTCACAGTGCTGTTCTTCTCCTGCCCACCTCCTCACCTGAGCCAGCCACAGAAGCAGTGGGATTATTGTTATCCAAGCACAGCTGATGATACCGATACACAACATGGTGTACCTCTGGCTTACGGGAATGCCTGCACGACACCGAGCGTCGGCCCGACGGGCTCTGTTTGTGTAGAAGGAATCGAGGTCACCTGCTGCTTCATCCCCACATCAAGGCAGCAGTTCGAGACTGGCTACATTGGGAGAACCCAATTAGGCGCCTCTTTCAAGTTTTAGCTGCATTATGAAACAAGAAGAGACGCCAGGACTTGTAGACTTCGCTGGCATCCGAACGAATACACGTATTCACAAAAGGGCTCTGCTAAAACAACCACCACAGCACGCCCCGCAGCAGCTGTGCCCAACGGCCCGGCTGTCCCTGCGGGGACGCGCTGACAAAGCCGCTCGGCAGCAGGGAACAGCACAGCGGAGACACAACAGCTTAAGGAGGGAGACGCTGCTCCACCCCGGGCCGCTTGGCCGCCTCACGACCGGGCTGCGAGGCGCGGGCCCAGCCCAGGAGAGGGGTCCCGGCCGCAGCGCTGCTC